TAGCCTTGCTGACGTCCGCAGGCCCGGAGCCTCCTCTATCTCTATTTCAGTTTGTTATCCCTTGTACCGAACAAACAAAACTATGTTTTTATTCAGACATTGTATTTAATAAATCTTAGAAGTTCGTGAGTATGGTGACACCAATCTTGGGTAGAGTTTTGTGTTGGAATTTCCGCATTTCTTTCAGTTATTTATATTTAAGACTTCCGCTTATATTATTAAACGCTTCGTTTTATTATATTGTTGATGTTTGCTAAAAGAGGTAATTAATAATTGGCTTGCCTAGCTCCTAATAGTAGGCGCCATCACGACTCCCGAGGGTGAAAAATCCGGGTCGTGACAAAGGGTCAGTAATAGCATGAGACAACCTTTAACCAGAAGAAAAGGCAGACGTTAAACTTACGAGTACGGTTCCATGATTCAAGAAAGGATGAAGTTGTGGCCGGGATGATGTCCCTGGTGGCAACTACAACGAACCGATACATCCATCCATAGTCATTGTCGTCGTCCATGTTGGTGAGCAAAGCATGACCATGTTTTCTGAAGTTTATCATTCCTCCTCGGAGATCTTGGGGAAATAAAGGTTCATCCGTCGAGCCAGGGAGAGCTCTTCCTCTGTCTCCTGACATAGACGCCAAAGGCAGGCGATCGTCTGCCACACAAAAAGGCTCACCTATGCCAAGCAGACTTGGTAACAGAAGCAAAACTCCAAGATAATAGAGTCAAGCCCCTCGCTCAATTAGAACCAGCCCAAAGTGTAGGGGTACGTGTAAATGTACGTAAAACCCTTCTTGGAGAAGGTTACCCGCTCCACTAGGTCTGGAGTGATGATGTTCAAGTCTTGACAACTGCAGTCTTCTTCACAGTAAGGATGCTAGAAAGACAGATGGAAGAAGGATATACACCAACAACTCATGTGCGGGGGTTAAGCAGAAGGGAACTTCTCTTCAAAGTCCTTAGCTGTAGTAAGCCTTCTGGGGATTATGGTGCTCACCATATGAGGAGCAGCATCATCAGCGTTCTCTTTGTTCTTTGAATACTGGAGTTTTTGGAAGAGGAGGCCATAGTTATAATAAGAAAGTAAGGATTTTTCTCTGGAGAAGAAGATTAAAGGAAGTTGAAAACAAGTGTGACTTGAGTAAAGAAAGTTTGAGAGAGTTTAGAAAATTATGAAGTGTAAAAGAAGAAGGTTGAAGCGTATAAGTAAAGGAATAGGCGGCTAAAATCATGGCCATGATTACCTCGAAAACCGGCGAAAGTGTTGCTGAATCGTGGGATGACGCGTGTTCGGGGCATTAAATGCAAAGAGACGTGTATATAATCAAGCGTCAGAAACTTATTCAGAGGGGGTCAGAGAATTTCTCGCCAAGAAAGGTATTGGTATCTTCACCAACTTTCCGATGACACAAAGATGTGCCACCGGAAAGTAGGGGGACTATCTGTATAGGGTAAAATATGTTCATAATTATTGCTCGCATAATAAAGCGACACGTGGAGCCAAAAGCAGATAGAAAGCGAGACAAATGGTAATCAAGTCCAAGAGCAGCAATCTCAGTTGTTCCTGAAGGGAATATTGCTCATAAAGACAAAATAAACGTCTGTCACTCGGTAACATTTAATGGAGAATATTCTATAGCATTAAGTACGTAGCCCGTTACAGAGAATATGGCATTCATAGCCTGCCGTTACACGTTCTTCAATTAATGGCTTCCATAATTGTCATTTAAGAGGGGTTTGATCCTAGGACCTTGTTTCCTAGGCGCAATTATAAATAGTGAGTTCAACAGACATTGTGAGGGGACATGAATTTTCTGACAAACTTATGCCCTATACTGTTCAAAGCTTAATAACACTTTATTCTCTTGCTTATTATTATCGTTATTACTGCCTTCGGAAGCTATGCTCCCGGAATCAAGATCTCTGTTGTCTTTTCTCGATTCCAACGCTAAGTCTTATATTCTTATTTAATTTATTTATCATTTTGAGATCAAATCGATTCGCTTGTCTATAAACTACGTATAAATTCAACTGTGTGTGTGTATATATATATATATATATATATATATATATATATATATATATATATATATATATATATATATATTCAAAAGAATTTTTAGATTATCAATGAAATAGTACCAGAAGGTTATTCGTCTTACTTTTGAAAATTTTACTTATTATGAACAGTTGTTTGTAGTTATCTTTAGATGACTTAATTTTTTTATATCGTTCGTGAAAAAGTTAATTAAACTCGAGAGGAAAAGGTTCAACAGTGAATTATAAGTAAACAAGGCACTATACGAATATATATTTTTTTTGTGTAACCGGTAAAACAAACTAAAACTAAATTAGGCACTTAACAGAAACAAGAACTAAAATTAGGCATATAATCTACCAAACAGATCATCGAGTGAAGTAAGCGAACATGGCAGCCACTAGGAGTGTGTGTAATCCATAACTCACGAGTCTAATATTTGTGTCCATGTATATGAATATGGACGAAAGCTACCTCTATGGTCTACAGTTCTCTACTACTACAATCCCACTTGACATGGTCACCACTAGTGTCCCTACTATTCTTTTTAAACTTTTTGGTTTCTCATTCGGTGTTCAATATTTATTTTTGGATTCGATTAATTTGGCTTTACGCTAGGAAGTTTTATTTTAATTAAGGGGTAAAACGTTTTCTATCAAAATCAACTCCATATCAATAGCTCGAACTTTAGACTTTTGGTTAAGAATAAAAAAAATATTTGTCTCCATCCTAACCTTCGATGGTCCTACTAATCCTTTCTCTTGCTTTAGATATATATATCATTGTATATGAAGAGAAAGTGATAGAGATAGAGACGTATTCAAGCTCTAAAGGTCTGAAATAGTCAGGATTCTGAATACATTTAACTCATAAATTTTTCTCTACTTCTATTAAAGAAAACACAGGAATCTTAGTAGCTCAATTGATTGGCGATCTGAATTTCTTTTTTATTAATGAAGTTTTATTTCTTGTCTTGTAATTCCCTCCCTATTTTCCCTTCCCCTGCCCCCTATGTAATTAAAAAGAAGAGTTTAAAAAGAAGGTACAAATTGTTATCTATATCAGTATATAGTGTTGGGAATACAATTTGAAGAGGAGAAAGATACCCCAAAAAACAAATTTTGATATGGCTTATTTGAATTTATTTTAAACGGAAGTGTTTGACATCACTCTTACAAATAAAAATAGTACTGAACTAATTTTTCGTACAAGTAAATAAATTTTAAAAAACTTTTTCGGGAGTCCTGCTTGAATTCGTCAAGTGGCCTAATAGTGGAGGACCACCCTTTATTTATGTTTTAAAAGGGGGAAGGAAGAGTGGGTAGAGCAAGCAAGCGAGAGAGTGGGGCGGAGATTCAATTTTCTTAATAAGTTTAAGTTGTATAACGAATGTTTATACTATCAGTATAATTTAACTGACTAACTAGAAAAAAAGAATTTATTTTATCTTTCAAGTTACCTTATTAAGTTTATTGTAAAAAGTTATCTGTTAATTAATGCATACATTATTAGTTCACATAATTAAGGAAAATCGAAGGGTTTGCTTGAAAGCCAAATGAATCATAGGTGGTTTGGCTTACTAGCTCATACTTACATCTACTACTTTTCTTTGAGTCTAAGAAGGCTAATGGAGTGAGTGAGGTGAGAGTATGGTTTTGACGTGCAATCCTCATTTGCTTTAATACAGGAATCTAGTCGTGACTTTCGCTGGCAAACTAGTAAGCCTTAAAAAAATAACAACAAAACCAAATAATAAGGAAACAGAATAGACTTAGGAACCAAACTTCAAGTTATCACCAAACTTCCTTCTGTCTTTATTTTTACTTACCTTTCAGTTTACTTTTCTTTAAATTATTTTCTTTTTTCAGTTATGACACTCTCTTAGTAATACTCGCTCATTCATTTCACCTTAATTATCACTGTAGTAAAAGGGGTCTAATCAGTATTAATTCTCGAATTTTCTCATATATAACCTCCACTTATGTCCAAAGAATATACATTTCACCTTCATAGATAATTAACTCGCGCGGTTAAGAGTGACCAATTGTCTCTGTACATGGCACTTAGACCAGCTCTTAGCTCTAGTAAATTGCATTCAGTTAATGCTATTGTGATATTTATAATCATATTTATACCTTACTTTGACACCACATAAATCAATAACCCTCTCTGTTCATTACTTTGACACCACTTTGATTTTTCACGCCTCTTAACAAATAATAATTATAATATGTATTTTACCATATAATCCCTAATAATGATAGCATATCAAAAAGTCTTGGAAAATAATTTTGGAAATGAGTACTTAATGATAAGGGTAAAATTGTCTTTCTCTTGATTTGCTAAAATGGATAATTAAAAGTGAAAATATATTTTTAATATAATGGTTAAGTAAAAGTGAACGAAGGGATACAACTTAGAGGGTGTTTGGATTGCCTTTTAAGTTGTTCAAATCAGCTTTTAAGCTCTTTTTAGTTTTTTTCAATGTTTGGGAATGTCAGAAAAGTACTTAAAATATGTTAAAAAATGCTTAAAACAAGCCAAAAGCAATAAGCTGGACAACCCCAACTTATTTAGCAATAAGCTGAAAAGTCACTTTTTTTAAGCCAATCCAAACGGGATCTTAGTTTTAAACTTTCTGTAAATTTAAGAAAAGTGACACCAAAAATATATAGAAAAGCTTGGAAACACGACAGCTTAGTTGCTTGTCATGCTAAGCTAGACCAAGTGTAGTGCAAAAGAGGGTTCAACTATTTAGTTAAAGACACTTTTCTTTAGTAGGATGTATTAGGAAAGATTGGTTGGCGAATAGACTTGAAAATTCATTCATTATATTTCATCCACTAGTTAACTCATGGGTGGTATTAATTTTGACTCTCCAAACAATTTCTTAATTACCATTCACTACACAATATATATATATATATATATATATATATATATATATATATATACTAACAAAAGCTGTACTTGCCATCACACCACTCTCTATTCTTTCATCACTCTTTCTCTTCTATTCATCTGCTTCTCTCTTTGTCACTTCTTTAGTAAACATTTATCTTAATTTTTCGTCTTATGGAAATCTCCGAAGATTCAGCCGATCGCACGTTAGTGTTCAAAGGGAAACGTAGTAAGCGACCACGGCAGTTGTCTCTTGTTGGCATGACTGTGGCGGTCACTTCCACGTCATCAACCGGCGGCGGCGGTGCTGGTGGTGGAAGTGGTGGCAGTAGTGATGATATTGGTGGTGGAGGAGAATTTTACTCTTCGTCAATTCAGTATTCACCAACTACTTCTTCTACTCAAATATCGACTAGTTCAGAGGAAGATGAGGACATGGCCAATTGCTTAATTCTATTAGCACAAAGTGGCCGATGCCAGAAACTACAAGTGGAAAGTAGTGAACGTAAGATGGTAAAAATCAGTAGCCGGAAATTTACAGAAATGGCCACTTGTACAACTGGAAAAGCTGGGTTCTATGTCTATGAGTGCAAAACTTGTAACAGAACTTTCCCATCTTTTCAAGCACTGGGTGGGCATAGAACAAGTCATAAAAAAGCCAAAACCATAGTAGAAGACAAAAAATCTACTGCTGATTCAGAAAATCATGATCATCGATATCATCAAGACGAAGAAAAGTTGAACAAGATTATTACTACGCCAACCCAAATAGTGAATAAAGGTCATTCAAATGGCAATTTCAACAGCAAGCCAAAAATTCACGAGTGTTCAATTTGTGGGGCAGAATTCTCATCAGGACAAGCTTTGGGTGGTCATATGAGAAGACATAGACCACCACCTACGATTACAGCAACAAACAGTACTAAGATTACAGATGAGACAACTTCGGAATCATCACATGATGATGAGAATTCGAAGGAGAAGCCAAGAATCATTTTATCGCTTGATCTTAACTTGCCGGCGCCGCCCGAAGATGATTCAAAGTTTGGTTTTTCAGCCAATAAGCAAAGTCTTGTCTTCTCCCCTGCGGCTTTGGTGGATTGCCATTACTAGTTAATTAACTCCGCTAGTTAAAGAGGAGAGTTTTTTTTTTCTTTTTTCTCTTTTTACCCCTTTTTTTACCTTTATTGATTATTGATATTCAATTAGTGTGAATTTGTTACAAATTTGTCATTACAATTTTTAGAATTATAGAACCATTATTATTGTTCTTTCTATAATATTTAAGGCATATTCACTCACAATGTACATATATTTTTGAATTATTTTAATCACATACAAATAGTTACAATTTTTTATAAGATTCTAACTAATAATATACTTGTCATAAAAATTATCTGTGTTGATTTTATAAGCAATTTTATTATTTTAATAAGGAATTTGATTATAAAATTATTATTTTTATAATGTCAATATATGATTCTACTTCTTTTTCTTTTTGGGGAGATAATTTAATTTGTTTTAACCAATGTTGATCATCTACTTTATTAGAAGTTTCACTACTTTAATAGTGGTTGTATTGATGGTTGTACTTCATACACGAAAAGGGAAGTGACGGGGCATCTTTAAATTTACAGATATATACACATAACTAAAAGTATTTTCTATAACTTTAATTTTTTTTGTTTATTGAGTGGAGAGCGATGTGTACACTCCACAAAAGAAAAAAGCAAAGGGATAGAGGAGTTCGATAACATCATAGTATGGCGAACCAATAAAATCTGTGGATTAGGTTGTTCCTCTGTGTGTTTTCTTGATTATTACTAGCAGAAAACAGCTAAGAAAAATACGTATAAAACAGAGTGGAGCTCCTTCGGTTTGTTTCTTTTCATTAAATAAATGGATAGGGAAGATATATGGTTGGGTAACCGCCAATACCATGTGTATATCCACCTGTATGTTACATTTTCTTGTCTTTCTTGCCTTCACCTAAAAGTTAGTTGTATTATATTTGTTTCTTTCTTTTAGTACTATGACCTGTCGCTTAATTTTTCCATTAAAATTTTGGTGTCAAAATTAATGGCAGATTACATTTTTTATCGCTATATTTAGTACCTTTTCCTTTACTATACCTAGTATCTTTTTATTTACTGACAATCATAATTTCCTTGATATTTAGCACTAATTTGCGATTAAAATAAGTTTTTATTATGCTAGGGATAGGGAAATACTTGTCCTTTTTTGTGGTCCTTTAGTCAGTCTCTTCTATAGAAGTATAAAATACAGTTAAGCAACAAAAAAAAGGTGATACCGTGTATGTAATAATATTTTGTATTTATTTACTATTAGGGTGGTCTCTCAAGATGGAATAGATATAGTAGCTCACAGCCAACCCATCACACCTAATCTTTTATCTGATCATAATCACTTACTTCTCAAGCTTCTTAACAACTAAAAAACCTTTACTTCTGCAATGAGCTTTGTCATACCAGAAATAGGCCTTTCAAATCACACGTCACAATATGCAAGCAGTTGGGTATGAGGTCTAATGTTCATACCACATTTCATAATTATACTTTTCTAACATGGGTTCTTAATGTAAACACTATAAATAGATAATTATCATGATTATTTTTCTATTACATTAAAGTAAAGTTCAAACACTAAAAGAGAAGTTGTGGAACACAAGTATACACAGGACTCATTTTGAATACAAGTCTAGCTAACCTTGTTATAACCGTAATTATACACTCAAAATCAGGCATAACCTTTATGTAGTATAAACTTTCTGAATGGTGCGGCATATATATACACTTAAATTGAATAACATCTTCTTACTAATATTTAGAAGGGGGAGCAATTGATGGCATAAATCGCCCCAAGTCATTCTTTAATTAATTAGTTGAAGATGTTTGTTATGTGCACGTTTCGGTGATTATTGGTAATTAAAGCTAAGCATGTGGATACATTGGTACCTAGCTCAATTGTATGAGATATTGTCCAAATGCATTGTGTGTGTGTGTGGAAGAGAGTGGGAAGAGGAAAGATTAAGGATTCCTTTACATCTGCACATGTAGTGGGGGACTACTAATTATTCAATATAACTTCTAAATGCTCTTATATTACTTTCAATTATATTATCAAAGAGTTTTAAATTATACAGTGACAATTCAAAAAGAGTAGCTTAAAAGTCCAATTACATACAACTATTTAGAATCGATAATTTAAATCTCATCAGACTGTGTTAGTTGCATAAGAAATAACATATCCGAGCTGGTTAGATTATGCTGATTTTGGAAAAATTTTATATTATTGTCAGTAAATATAAGGAGAAAAAAAAAGATAAATGAAAGAAATAAATAGCCATCTCTTATATTCTTAAATCGGCCATTCAAGCATTAAACAAACAAATGGAATAACAGAATATAAATTATTTAGTGGAAGTAACATTCCATAGTCAATGCTCTCTCTTCTAGAAAAAGTTTCTGATCAAATACATAAACCTCTTGAGTGCGAGAAAATGTACGTACATCTGTTGCATAATTTACTGATAGGAATTCCGTTACATTTAAAAGTTTTGCACCAAATTATTTTGTTATATTAAGTGATAAAAATTCAAGTACAAAGTGCTATATTTATTGATTTCGTTTAAATACTTGGTGCAAGTAAATTTGAGTCATTGCTATATTTTGAACTATTGTGTCTCTGTAAAAGCATAGTATAATTAATTAGTCATGATCAAGTATAACCAAGTAACAGTGAGGGAACAAAGCATACGTGGATAAATAGAGTACTTCATACTTCATTGGAAGAATCATGTGGGCAGCTCAGCAGAAAAAGAACCTTGAGGCTTGAGGTGGCGTGCTTCTCAACTCGACAGCTGCTTGTTTCTTTTTTTCCTAAACATCCAACTCTCTAAATTCCACTGAAAAAATCATGTCCAAGAGTTTAGTTTTATTGTTGTATACGGTTAAAAACGAGCCCACTCTATTACACTAATGGGCCGGGATCAGGGGATAGTTCGAGGATCGGCCCCGTAGTGTATCAGGCCGAAATATGAGAATAAGACACCGAGTCCGGGATACGGAGTACCTGTCGAGGTCGAGACCGATGATGATCGAGACCAATCAGGATAGACATCGAGCAAGACCGAAGATAGCATAATAATGGAAATGCGAGATATTCGTGATTGGCCGAGGATCATGGCGTAAATCTGGGAACGGATCAAATCAAGAACGGTTATTTAGCCCATCATGGGATTTACTTCTGTAATTAGAATTGTACCATGAATAGGATTCTTCTACTATATAAAGAGGGGTCTAATTATTTTTGTAACCATCTTACATTCACGCATATCAAAGCAATATATCATATTTTTATCTCTTGCAAGCTCCATTGTTCAGTTCATATTTTTAATAATTCGTTCGGCCGGTTCGAGGGCAGTTAGCTCAAAGGCCATAATTGTTCATCATATTTGTTTGCTTATTTTTGTTGTAATTTCTATCATTAATTCTTATATTTATCAGTTTGTGCCAAGTGAAATCACATACTCTTAAAACCACTTATAAGTTTAATTGTCATCCGATTTTAAGGGTAAACAGTTTAGCGCCCATCGTGGGGCTAAGGATAATAGTGATTGCCTGGTGCAATTTCCGTAACACACATAATTTTACGCTTGTTCTTTGAAGTGTCTTTGATTCCACGATCAGCATGTCGAACTCTCAAGTAGCACCCACACACACAAACGAATGAACGATGGCATTGGTCTCCATGGCGAGAACGATAACATAGCCGCCCCAGGGAACGGAGTACCTCCAGTCAACCCCGATGGGGCTCCGGCCGTGGATCCAATCGACGTCAGTTCTCACATTGCCATTAATGGAAATCTGGGCGGCGATCCTGAAAATAGCGTACGTAGGGATGCTCAAACAGGCGATCAGAACGCACAGGGCGGTGAAGAAGGCGGGATTAGCCTTCGAATAATATTCGAAATGCTGCAGACCCAGCAAGCCGCGATAGCGTAACTCCAAAATCAGAACCGTGCACCGAGCAGGATCGAGCTCGATCCATCACAAGAAATTGTTCATAGAGCCGAATTGGTGGCGAAAAGATCGAATGGAGGGGAATCATAGACCAATCCTGCTATTGTAAAAATGCTCGAGGAATTGACGAAGTGAATCTAGACGGGGGAAAATAAGATCGAGGAAAATGATAAGAAAGTGAAAACATATAATTCTAGGGTCGATCAAATCCCCGGGGCACCATCATTACTGAAAGGACTTGATTCCAAAAAGTTTGTCCAAACACCTTTCCCCCCAAGTACGGCTCCGAAGCCAATCCCAAAGAAGTTCCGTATACCCGAGATTTTGAAGTATAATGGGACGACGGATCCAAATGAACACGTCACCTCATATACATGCGCCATCAAGGGAAATAACTTGGAAGATGACGAGATCGAATCCGTGTTGCTGAAGAAATTTAGGGAGACTCTATCGAAAGGTGCTATGATATGGTACCATTAACTTACCACCTAACTTTATTGATTCATTTGCTCTTCTTGCAGATGCTTTCGTAAAGGCACACGCCGAAGCCATTAAGGTTGCTACCAGAAAGTCGGATCTCTTCAAGGTAAGACAGAAAGACAATAAAATGCTCAGGGAGTTCTTATTTCGATTCCAAATGGAGCGAATGGATTTGCCACCGGTCACCGACAATTGGGTTGTTCAAGCTTTTACTCAAGGTCTCAATGTTCGAAGTTCTGTAGCTTCACAGCAGTTGAAACAGAATTTGGTCGAATATCTAGATATCACTTGGGCCGATGTACATAATCGGCATCAGTCGAAGATCGGGGTCGAGGATGATCAACTAGCGGCTCCGATCGGGTCCGTTTATCATAATAGGTCAATGGACAGAGTTAAAAGGGACGTCGACCGGGAACCGCGGTCGAACAGAGACCGATATCATCCATACGGTAGAAATCAGAGAAATAACAGGGTGCAACCCCGTTCGGAATGATAGAAGGAATGATCCGGGGCAGAGTTTCTGAGGGCTCATGAGCAAAAGTGGGTTCGATAGGGATGTCGGGAGCAAAGAAGCACCTCGATTATCGGAATATAATTCAACGTGGATGCTTCTGCCATAGTATCAGCCATTGGACGTATCAAAGATACCAGGTGGCCTCGACCTATGCAAACCGATCCGGCCCAGAGAAATCCAAACCAAATATGCAAGTACCACGGTACCCATGGCCATAAAACCAAAGATTGCAGG